TATTTTTTCTTCAGTTAACCTACCATGAATACTAGAACCGACAGACAAGACCAACTTCCTAATGATAGTCCACCGAATATTTCAGTCGTTAATGCTTCAATGGCTACCAAAAATGACAGTTTATCCCCAAGAGAAATGCAAGCCACATTTCCAGTGGATGCGTTAACTACTCTTAATTCTTGTTGTCACGACGTCAATGGCAAGTGCCTGTTTTACCCGAATCACAACTGGAATTGTTCTGATAGCGTCGATTAATATGGCTAAAAATGGTTCTGCAAAAATATATATTTCTAAATATTTTCTTTTTTTAAAATCTAGGTGAAGACATTTTTTCAGAAGAATGCTTACGTTTTTATTCTTGATGGCTTGATAATTTCTTTTACAAAAATATTCCAGGACGATGCTGTCAGTCGGTGGGATTCTCATGTATTGGTATGATTACACTAGTTTTCATTCAACTAACGAATTCATTTTTAAAAGCATTTTATTTATGCAATGCTCTTTTAGCTATTGAACTATATTCATTCAAGGCTAAATCTGATAGCACACCTATATTAGAACTAGAAAGCATTCTATTCGATCCTCATTCACGGTGAGTTGTTTTCATTGTGGGTAACTTAAATACTTTAATATTTACGTCACATCACATCGTTGGAATTGGTATTACCCCACTGGGTTGCGTCCGCGCGTTAATGGCAATCATTTTAACTTTCATCTCACGAGTTATGATATCTATTATTAATGCATCTGAGCTGCTATCGGTTTACACTAGTACACTACTCAAATATTGGTTCACATGGAAAAATGATGGATATTTATGAGGAAATATACAAAAACGCCGGGTTACGTTCAAGGTTACCAGGCGGGATAACTATAAACTCGTGGAGAATTTCTAAAGCTTCAAATTGAAGTGTGAGGAAGGATGTTGTCTAGTAAGACTATAAAAGATTCTCAACCAAACCATTCAGTTCAGAGAACACAAATACATGGTTAGACTCAGTCTGTTCCATCTGATATGAGTATTTTTGGTTGTATTGTCAGCTTTTAGTAATGACTAATGAATTGGTGTAGGAACTTAAAAGTAATCATTTTGTATCATGTACTTGTTCCCACTCTGTCATATTAGATAAATCAGATTAGTTTAGTTTAGGTGCGTATTGTAGATCAGATGGGTATGAAACTGTAAAAAGGGTGTTTCTCTTTTGAACTTACACTTGAGCTATAGTCTCCCCCACTGTAAGGAATGGTTAGAAATGACCGGTTCTGTATTCACTGTGAACTATGTCTTCGTCTACGGTTTTTCTTCGTTAATTGTTGTGTTCTTGATGTAGTTTCCTTTCTAATTTTGGTGACAAAAAATACTTATTTAATTTAAATCCTGTACCTACTTCAGTAGTTCCGTGTTTATTTAGTGGTGGAATGCTTAAAAACCCAGCTGGTGCACCAGGTTGGATTCTTAGTCAGTACACTTCTGAATCTCGTCTGATTGACTAGCCAGGTAATTAGCCTGGGGAAGGTGGGATTGGGTGTGAGGTTATTTTAATTCGAACTAAAACGTTTCTGTGCAGATTTCGACTCTGGAGTGAATCAGTTGCTTAGTCAATAAAAATTGCATTAGCAATCTATTGGTGTCCTCTATCCTGTTATACCACCTCGCCTAGTTTTCTAGCCGGTCCCAAACTATGGTAAACAGAGATAGCTGCTACTTTGACGTGGTTGTCGGGCTTGCACATCACAATGACCCAACAAACTACACTGGCTGGGACTTCTGTTCCTGCAGGTCCTACCACGCCAGGAAGATTGTTAGGATAGCGATTAAACTAAAAGCAGTTACCGGCATTGTGTAATAATCTTTCTTACACTATGCTGGGGGTCTGAGGGCGAAGTCGTACTGCTGGGGGAACAGGGGTGTAACAGCAGTGAGGTGTTTCCCTCAGATGACCAGCATGCCAGCTATGCTGTCTCTCCACTCTGGAGAGAGAGGGTACATCCCGACTCAGCCTACGGTGGTCCGTATGATCCGTGGCCAACATCTTGGTCTACCAAAATTTCCATCCTATATATTGCATCTATTTCCTCGTATTTATTTTATTTTAATCATTCAATTATGTGTCCTAATCGCATTGTTTACTCTCGCGGTTATTTAAAAAGTTTCCAACCGGCTAATTTACTCGTTTCTAACAAACTTAAGAAAAAGCCTCATGGTGGATGGCAACGAGTTTTAAAGCGTACTCCAATGCATTTGATGACTGTTCCTGTGATTATGAGCACAAATTGCAGATATCTACCAAACAAGATTAATTATTTGCATTCTCTATTATACTCAAATGTATATTGTAACACTGCTGTTGTGAAGAAGACAAGACTGAGGAGACTGAAAAGATTGTTTATTTGGTGAAACGTATGGTACATAGCTAAATTTGGAATACCATATTCTAAACCGGCCATTTGCACATCTTCACCACATCCTTGACGAATTGGTCGAATATCATCTCATTCGATAGCTTCTTGGATTCTGCATCATATGGCAACATTCTTCTTATGGTTCTCTTCTTTGATTGCTCTTTCGGTGTGCCAAACATGTTGTTACTTCGTTCCTGATATACTACTTATATCGGATTATAAGTAGCACTCACCACACTGTAATTACTCTTCAAGAAACTTGGCTGCACGATTCATATGACGATAATTTGGTCTCTTTACCTGATTTTAAAATGTACAGACAAGACCGATGCAGCTCAAAGAAGAAGAGAGGTGGAGGTGTGGCCACTTTTATTAATTCTCAGTGGTCTACTGCCAACAACGTCTGCTTCAAATTCTCAAATGACAATATTGATTGTATAACTGTTAAATGCCGACTTAAACACTTATCTAAGTATAACTGCATTTTTGTCACAAATATCTATGTCACACCTTCTTGCAGTCCCTCAGAACTAACGATCTTTGCTGACGAATTCACTATTTTTGCTGCTGCTTCGTTTGGTAACTCCTTGTCTGTAGTAACTGGTGACTTCAACGCCAGTGACTACAGTTTTATTACATTGCTGGGTCATGAAAATGTGGTTAACTTCCCAACTCGACAAGATCCTTCGCTTGATTTAGTATTCATAAATGATTCTGGAATATACGAAGCTCGTAAAAGAGCTCCACTCTCAAACTTTGATCACTGTATTGTACGAGTTCTACCCGAAGTTTACGGAAAGTTACACAAAAAAGCCTTCTTTAACTTGTCCAAGAAAGTTGTTCACAGATGTTACTCAAATGAGAATGTACAACATCTTAGAAACATGCTCAGTGACACAAGATGGGATCTGTTTAATGATGTTTCACTTGATGACACAATCTCTAATATTACGTCTTATCTGAAATTCTGTTTTGAAATCTGCTGCCCAAAAGAAACATTATTCGTCAAATTCGACCGTTTCTCCTCCCCTCAACTTAAAAAGCTTCGTAGAGAGAAGGGAAAGCTATATAAAATGAAAGATAAAAGTGGCGTAAAAAGAACTAACTTCCTTATCAAGTCTGAAATGCAGAGATTGAATGTTATATAAAATCAGAAATTCATATCCTGCAAAAATGGTTCAAATATGTGGAAACTATTTAGGGAAATCACTACTGGTGATAAGCAGATTAACAATATTCCGTATTCTTCTGATGTATGTACTCTTAATAAATCTTTTATTTATTCCCCCTCAAATTCCATGCTTCCCAGTATCACTAGTGTTAATAATAGCCCCTTTCCAGGTTTTAACACAAATGATGTTCAAAAGTGCCTCAAGTCTCTGAACCCTTCCCAGAGCTTAGGTCCAGATCATGTACCTAGTATTATTTTCAAAAAATGTTCTGATATTCTATGTTACCCTCTCACTGATCTGTTTAACAAATCTTTTTCCAGTAATATTGTGCCTGCTGTTTGGAAAGACATTAAAGTTGTACCCATACCTAAATCGTCTACTGGAACATGTGTCAAATTTAGACCCATTGCTATTACCTCTCCTTTTTTGAAAACTATGGAGAAACTACTTTTACTTAGTCTTGCACCCTCTCTTAAATCCTTTAATGACCCAAAACAGTTTGCCTATAAGCACAGTAGAAGCACTTTAGATGCAGCCGCCGTCTTATATCATAACATTGCTTCCAGTCTAGACAAAGGGGCTAAATTTGTCCGTTGTGCCTTCCTAGACTATACATCTGCTTTTGACTCGGTCCCTAGGGACATCTTGTTAAATAAACTTGCTGTAAGTCAAACAGAATGTTGGGCTGTTAACTGGTTACACTCTTATTTCTCAGAAAGAAAGCAGTACACCGTGTATAAAGGGAAGTCTTCCACTTCATTGCCTATTGAAGCTGGTGTCCCTCAAGGCGCTGTCTTTTCTCCTTTTCTTTTTTCTTTCTCCTTACATGACTTGCCTCAGTCTGATGAAATAAATTTTGTGAAGTACGCTGATGATTTAACTGTTTCAGTGGCTGTTAACTCCCAGCTAGATTGTACCAAAATAAATAGCTTTCTGTCAGAAGTCAGTAAATGGTCTGAGTCTAACGGTCTTAAACTGAATCCTTCTAAATGTCAAACTGTTAATTTCAGCTTAAGGTGTAAACGACAGTTAAAAGAAGCCGTCGATTCTTATGACAGTTGTAAGATTGATGACAATGATATAGGAATTAAATCAGAAATTAAGTATCTTGGACTTATTCTCTCTTCTGATCTCTCCTGGTCTTCCCATGTCTCAGCGATCTCCAGTAAAATATTCCGCCTGACATTTTACATTAAGAAGTTAAGGCACTCGGGTATAACTCAACCCCTCCTCCTACAGTTCATAAACTCTTGCATCCTACCTATTCTTCTTTATTGTTCACCCTTATTCTTTCCTGGTTTGCTTAAAAAGGACTTTTTCACAATTCGTAGAATGCTGAAGACTGTCAGTAGGATGAGTGGTGTCCCAGTGGACTACATAGTTAACGTCGTTGTCGATAGGCATTTGACTTCGTGCAGTAAATTTGCTAAAGGGATTTTGTCTGACTTGGAGCATCCACTTCACCCTCAGCTTTCACCTTGCATATCCTCAGGTAGAACAAGAAGTAACTTCAGAAAACTGTATGCTCGCACGTCTAAGTATCAAAAGTCTATGATACCATACTTGGCACGTATTTTATGTGATGAAAATAGCGTCAGGCAAGAATTGACTAACCTTTTTTCATCTAGTAAATAAACAATCTCCTCCATCCATCCTTATATACCTTCAAGTTTTACTTTAATTATTTCTATTATATTTATGGTCCTGTTGCTTCTTGTTCTCACTTTCATAACTGCAAACACCAACTTATCTCTATGACTGCTGTAATCTTTGTTTTTCCCCTCACCATATCATGTAAAGAGAACATCATATTTAATATTTTTAATCATGCAAGGATTTGTATACCGCATCGACAATACTGTGTGAAACAAGCCGACGGCGATTTTCACTTGTATTATTATTATTATCATTACCTTAGCTGCTATCATTATTATTATTTCCATTTTATATGCTGCATGCTTTTTATTTTTTTTATATTAACCCTATTGTAAATGTAGAAAAATTTTCTATGTGATTAATTTTATTTAGAATTTGAGGATATTAGGTGCAATATTGTGATTAATGCTGAAAATTCCATTCTGTATCACAAGTACTGTTTTTGGAATAAAGTAAATCATTATTACTATTATTATTATTATTATTATTATTATTATTATTATTATTATAAGGTGAATCTACAAAACTCACTTTAGGATTGTCAGGGGACCCCTCAGCTAGCTCGCAAGGACTCGCAGGTGTAGGGCTAGTTGAGTGTTAGGGTAGAGAAATTACTTCTTGACTGGATCCCAGTAGATAGTCGTATGTGTGCAGTCCGTCTGAATGGGTCCGTTAGAAGAAGGAAGAACGGCGCTACCCGTCATTGTCTTTTCATAGTCTCCGCTTACGCCCCAACAGACTGCAGTTCGGATAAACTAAGGGATAATTTCTGCCTGAAACTGTCTAATTTGCTGCAAAAAGCAAAACGTTCAGATATAGTTGTTTCAGCAGGCAACTTCAATGCCCAAGTAGCGAAGTTGTGCCAGACAGAGTATTATGTAGGTGGTACGTATGGAGTTCCCTGCTGGCGAACCTACTACGGTGATCGTTTTCTACAGTTCTGCTCAGATAATCATCTATTTCTAGTCAGCACTAACTTTAAGCACAAAGAGAGATATTGCGTAACCTGGCTACCTCCATCATCAAATCGACGCTGGACTCAAATAGACTACATAACCATAGGGTATCGTTGGCGAGGGTCAGAACAAGACTGTCGCTCCTTTTAGAACACGTGCGTAAACTCTGATCACGCCCTGATTCGTGCACGTGCTTACGATTAAACGGATATAAACAATTGTTGGTAGCGAGGCAGGTGCGTCCCCATCTAGATCGAGACACTGAGTCCCTATTTAAAGTAGAAATAGCGAAACGTGTATCTGAGATCGACAGCAGGACTTCCCCTAAGGTAGCCCGGTACAACATACAGTTAGCTGTAGACACAGCTGTAAAAGCTGTTAATAAATAACATGAAACCTAAAGTTAGTAAGAGCCATTGCATTTCTACCGTCTCATGAGAAGTGATTGACGCACGAAGACTGATCCCGGTGAGCTCTGATTATGATGAGGAGCGAAAGCTACTCAAACGCAAACTAACAAGAGGGCTTCGTAACGACGGTGAACAATGGTGGGCGACAAAAGCGAAAGAGATGGAGGAGGCATCGGCAAAAGGGAACACTAGTCAACTATTTAGACTTATCAGGGAAACAGGTAAGAAAATGGCAAACGATAAGTGAAACAATCTCTGAGAAAAATGGCACCATAATTAACTCCCAGCATAGACGACTAGGACGTTGGAGAGAACACTTTGAGGAGCAGTTTAATTGGCCCACAGCCACTGTCAACTTACCCAGCATCCAACACCTCCCTGAATGGGACATAGACACAGGTCCTCCGTCCCTAACTGAGGTTACTAAGGCTGTCGCTAGTCTGAAACGAGGCAGTGAGTGACTATGATGATGCCACCAGTAGCAGCCAGAGCCCTAATGCAATGGGAACCAATTTCATCCAGGATTACGACAACAAAATCCAACTCAAAAAGAAGGAAGGTTACAATTATCCAATGCTACAAACAACGCGAAACAAGAGAAGGAGGAAGATTTTCACAGACAACTACAAACAGTAATGGAAAACATCCCAAATAGAGACATCAAAACCCTTATGGGTGATATGAATGCCAAACTGGAACCTGATAATACAAGGAGAGAACTCATCATGGGTTGAAAGGCTCTGGCTCGGAGGCATGAATAAGAACGGAGAATTATTCGCAGACTTCTGCTCTTTCAATGATTTGGTAGTCAGAGGAAGCGTGTACAAACACAAGGATATACACAAAGCAACATGGATTTCGCCTGACAAACATACCACAAACCAGATAGATTTCATCTCAATGTTGCCTCTCAAGGAAGTGGATACGCAGCTAGTCTGCTGGATACAAAGTTGAGAAGGGGAGCAGATGTGGGCTCGGACCATCATCTGGTTCAAAGAACCTTCAAGGTGAAACTGAAATCCATGAAAACAACTGGAGACAGACCACTGTAATGCATGTTCAACATTCAGAAACTGGACAAAACTACAAAGGATACCTCAATACATATCTGATCAGAGCGAAGTCGGAGACACTACGTGGAATCACTGGGGAAACCTGTGTGGAAGAACATTGGAACTCTCTGGAAGCGATATTCAAGGAAAAGTGTACAACTGTTCTAGAAAGAAGGAAGAGACAAGATGAGAAATGGCTGGAAGCTAATCGAGGAAAGAACGATAGTGAAAGAGAAGATGACTCAATGCAAAGATGAGCAACAGAAGGAGAAGCTGAGTTCAGTGTACATCGCACTGAATAAGGCAATGTAGAAGAGTGCCACGAACAGTAAAAGACAATTCTACAATACACTAGGAACTGAGGCAGAACAGGCCACAACCGAAAGAACCATCAGGACACTAAATCAAATAACCAAGTCCCTGTCCGGAAAGAGATCAACCCAGATGAATAAACCTATAAAGAATACTGCACTGACCCATAAGAAGACTCTAGAAGATCTGAATTTCGCACGTGGATGACTAATGTTTCATGTCACACAAATTCGACGACTTACAGTTAAAATCCAACAAACTGGCTGAAAAAGCAGGCAGAAAATACAACACTCCAGGTGAACATTGAGAAGATGGAGGTAATGAATATAGCCAACGAACAACAACAACAACAGGCACCAATCACCATCAATGGGAGAGATTTAACAAAGGTAACCTCCTTCACTTATCCGGTTGGGAAGCATCGTTCTAACCACAGGAATTCGGGACGGATGAAGATGTCAAAGCTAACCAGTCAGAGTCGGAAAGGCAAGATACGTCTTCATCAACCTGAAACCAGTTTGGAAATCTTCTGCACAGTGCTCAGCATAAAGAATAAGATTCGGATTTTCAACACCAATGTAAAGTCAATTCTTGTATACGGGTCAGAAACTTGGCCAGTGTATCATGAAAAGCATTTCCAACAGTTTGCGGACTTTTGTCAACAGCTGCCAACTTCTCTGGCTCCATACTGAGGATGAAATGGCCAGCCAGCCAGAAAGAATTAATACTAAGAAACTCTGGCTAGCTGGGATCAAGTCATCCAAGAGCCGATTGCTCAACAGATATGTTGGTGAAAATGGAGATGGATCGAGCACACATTAAGGAGGCCGACGACTTTCACCGCGTGCAATGCCGGCCATCGCTCGAGTGGAATCCCAATAGGAAGCAACGAGTGGGTCGTCGGTGCAAGGGTGACATGGAGGAGATCGTGTGAGGAAGAGATGAGAGTTTGGTCAGTCATGGAGCAAGCCAGCTGAAGAGGACGGCAGAGAATAGAAGAAAGCGGAGATGTGTTGTCTAAACCCTATGTTCCACTCGGAATTCAAGGGAGTAATAATAATATAATCCTGTTATACGGTTGTGACCTTTGAAATTGCAAGATTCGAAGGGATTTCGGTTAATAAAGTTTGCATCATCTTTGGTCCACTTTTATCGAGTGTGAATTGTTTAAAAATGTGTAAGAACCATTTTCAGCCTCTTCCTTTCACTTAATATTTTCTTGTATTTAATGTTACAGCTTTCATAAACGTAGTATTAATTCCACCAATGTGGCACAAGAAATTCGTTACGGAATTGATAAGAACGCTGTTTGCCGATTTGACAATATCATTAAGTTATTACCGCATTTATCAGTGAATAAGTTAAACATGCAGGAATACCAGGAAGAAGTGAACTATGAAGAAACGAAAGAGAATTCATCACACCTCAATAGTTCCACCTCTTTAAATTTAAGAGAATATTCTATTCCATATGTTAATTATGAAGATGCACCGGTTTTGTTGGATTTCATCAATTTATTTGGAAGGCTGTCCGGTTTCGATCGATTGAAATCACGTCTTATGGCTCTAGACAATAACGATGAGAAACCGCAACAACAACAGCAAAACGTAGAGGAAGACAAAAAGGAGGAAGAGCAGCAGTCAACTGATAGGACAGAGCATTTATCACTCAGTTTAATATATGCTTATCTCCAACCTTTTGCACTGTGCTGTTATTTTCTGAATGACTCAGTGATTGAAGAATATTTTCAGCCGATAGTTGTAAGTTTAACCTGTGTTGCATCATTGAATAGCTTTTTAATCATCCAACACTTAGCTTTTTAAAGTATATAAGGGAGGAATATAAGAATCATAACACACCCAGTTCTCCACATGATTTGGCAAATCATTCACGACTTTTGACATCCTTTCTGTGCTCGAAAAAAAAGAATGCAAACACATTTTACACCCTTTTCCAATTATTTGTTTAAAGTTTTCGTTCATGTTTGTGCTTCCAATTCTTTATTTTATCGTAGTTAACAGATCGGTTTTAAATTTATCTCGTGGGTTTTCCAATATCTAATGACTGATATGGATCAACGTTTAAATTTTTATGAGATTGCATGCGTTTACATTGTCACACTTTGAAACATCACAGAAGAATGAAATGTAGACATTTATTGGTACTGCACATAAGAGATAAGCGTCTATTATTATTATTATTGTTCCCTTGGGTTCCTAGTGGAACATAGGGCTTCAACTGCACGTCTCCACTTGCTTCTGTCTTCTGCTGTATTTTTCACCTGCATCCATGTTAGTCCATACTGTTTCAGCTCCTCTTCACACGATCTCCTCCATGTCACCCTTGGACGTCCCACTCGCCGCTTCCCTTTCGGGTTCCACTCAAGCGATGGCCTGACGCGCGATGTCACCCAGCGGCCTCCTCAGAGAGTGTCCAATCCATCTCCACTTTCTCCTGCATATTTGTTGAGCGATTGGTTCTTGTTTTGTTTGTTCCCATAGTTTCTTGTTGGTGATTCTTTCCGGCCGGCCATCTAATCTTCAGTATAGAGCGAAGACAGCTGTTGATAAATGTCTGCAACAGGCTGTTGGAAATATTCTTTGTGACCTGCCGCCAAGTTTCTGATCCGTATAGAAGAACTGACTGACTTGACGTTTGTATTGAAAATCCGAATTTTGTTGTTGATGCTGAGTGACGAAGATTTCCAGATTGGTTTCAGGTCGATGAATGTGTTTCTCGCCTTCCCGATTCTCGATTTGACATCCTCGTCCGTTCTTCCTGTAGTTGAGACAATGCTGCCTAGATAAGTGAATGAAGTAACCTCTTTCAAATCCCTCCCGTTGATGGTGATTGGCGCTGGATGTTGCTGCTGCTGTTGTTGTTGGTTGGTTGGTTGGTTATTTTCACAACCTCCGTCTTGTCTATGTTCACCTGGAGTTCTGTCTTTGCTGCTTCTTCGACCAGTTTGTCGGTTTTCGCTTGTAAGTCTTCGATTTTGTGTGACATCAAACATAAGTCATCCGCGAAATCCAGGTCTTCTAGATTCTTCACGTCGGTCCAGGATATGCCTGTCTTCTCATTTCCCACTGTCTGACGCATAATCCAGTCCACCACAATTAGGAATATCATTGGTGATAATAAGCACCCTTGTCTGACTCCTGTGTTTACTCCAAAAGCCTCGCTGAGTTTTCCATTGTGACATGTGCCGTTGTCGTACAGCTGTTGAATAAGGTTGATGAATATTTGAGGTACGCCGCAGTACTCGAGTAGTTTCCAAATTACTTCGCGGTCAACGCTGCGCTGTCGAAGGCCTTCTCAGAGTCTATGAAGGAAGTTGAGGTAGAGGTTTGATTGCCATTCCATGCTTTGTTCTGTGATGATGATGCATAGAGTTGCAATTTGGTCAGAGCATGATTTGCCTTTCCTGAACCCAGCTTGTTCTGGTTGTCGGAGTTCTGTATCCAGTGCGTCATTTATTCTCTCCAGGATGATGCGACTCAGAATTTTACTCGGTGTCGACAGGAGTATGATTCCTCGCCAGTTCTTGCAGAGTCCTAAGTTGCCCTTTGGTAGTTTCACAAGGTAACCTTTCCTCCAGTCAGTAGGCACCCTTCTCTCCTACCAGACCTTTTGCAATAATGGAGTCAGTAAATCTGCTACCGTCTCTGGGTCCGCTTTCAGTGCTTCAGGGGTACTGCACATACCACGGATCCCTGTAAGACTAACTGCGCTTCTTCAGTATACACACTGCAGCATTGTTAACCAAATGTTAAAATTCTGTTGGTTCTGTGTTAATATCTTTTTATAATATGTGTAGACTGGTTACTTTGCAATGTCAAATGTTTACTATATAAAAGACTGTCATGATAATTTAGTACAATAAGTCCTGCCAACCGACCTTACCTTCAGTTCATACTACCTACATTGAACTCTAACTGTAGTGTTCTGATGAATCTTGCTCCACTATTCACAAAACCTCTTATTTTTACTCTTTAAGGGTTTAACATCTTATAAACTAATCTGTTCATTAGGACGCATGCACACATATATAATATGTTCGTAAATCTGTACTTGGAGATCTCTTGGAAGCACTCCCTAAGACAGCTGGGGAAATAGAATGTGAGGTACGAACGTGTCTGGCACCAAGCAATATATTTGCTGTAGCCATAACAATCAGAGCCTAACATCATAAAAGGAGGGAGGGTGGCTCATGCTGATCAGTAGTTATGGTGGTGGACACTAAGGTGAATCGCCCCATTCTGCAGGAACAGCAATATACAATTTGATGGCTCGAAATTTCTATGAGGGCTTGAATCTTTATCTTGAATAAGATAATAATGATCGCCTGAACAGATCATGCTTCTACCTTTAAACATATACCATTCGGTCAGCCTATTGCTGAGATGCGACCACGTGGGCTCTGCACAGATTTATGGGGCGTCTTATAAATTGACATGCTTTCCTTTGTCGTATCTTCGAATATCACTTAACAATGTCTCATCTCATTCATTTTCTAATAACGTCTTCACTTGCTCCTAATTATATTGCACTAAACCTAACATTTTATAGCTCTTTATGAATTTGATTCGACTTATTCTATTCCTATTCTCTATAGGGTACGGTTGTGCACCACATACACAAAAAGGTATGAAATTAAAACAACCGGCTTGTGGATAATTGTATTAAACCAAAAGTGGACAACATGATAGTAAAACCTATATGGGTAGCATTATACGTTGCAAAGGAACTTTGTCAACCTAGGGATTATAGTCTCCCATTGTATTTCCTTTATCAATGGATCTATTGATGATACATTGCATTTACCTTTTTCATTACACTTTAATGATTCGCCTTAGCACCTTTACTTTTCTAAAACAGCTTACTATCCCTTGTAAACGTTGTACTTACCTCAATATTGGTTGGTTATCGTATGCCTACAACTACGGGTTGAAAACGAAACGAAATCGATTTTCTCGCGCAACCTGGAGGACTACTGTTCAATTCAATAATGATACGACATGGGTCAGACAAAGAGTGTATTTATACATATATCAAATATTTAGCTGTTCAAACATTACTAACTTGTAGGCAATCTACTATTTGACATTGTATCATACTTGATCGTGCCTGTAAAAATGGCATGTATTTTCATGTAAATTTATGTTTATATGAAATACAAATTATTATTATTATTGCTAAGGCTCCTGCGTGTGAATGACTTCAACAAAAAATGAAATAATAGCTGCTTGTATGCCAAAGCTTGTGTATAAACTCTTTGGAAACAAGCTCATGGTACGATTTCTCTACTTCATGAGGACATCTAACTGTATAAATCAGAACAATAGCATAAATAAGTATTAACATACTTTTTTCTTCTACATATTTTATGTAATTTGGCGTTTGGATTTAAATTCTCCAATTTCTATTACCATTACCCTATATAGGTGTAAAAATCATTATTCGTTTTGCCTCCATATTTTTTATTTTTGTTATTCTATATTTTTTTTTGTTGTTGTTTACTAGCACAAACTTGAACTAACTGTTAGTATGTTACACTATAAAACTCAATGACTCTAAATTATTAGTAAAAAAAAAGGAAATAAACCCTGAGGTCATCGCATAATGTTTGCTTAAATTATTATTGGTTGCTGGCTGCCTCTGCACCTCTCTTTCTATTTTCTCCTTTCTTCTCTTCTCGAAGGTATTGCATTGGAGCATTGCAAATGTACAGTGATGCGGCTTTCTACGTTTGTATTACTTGAGCGCTATTCAGAACCTCGTTAGCACATACGATGAAAAACGGAACAAATTCCATTCTGAATTCTGTTTATCATCGCAAAGTTGGTCCGTTGTATCTGCTAATACCAAAATAATGTTGTACTTACCCGCTACTGTGGAGTTGTATAAATTTTCGAACCCTTATTAATTGATCAAAATGATAATGATCGTAAGCTCTGCATCCTGTTTGTCTTACTCTAGCAGCTGTGTACCACCTCTCTTCGCACCTTCCATTAACGCAACATTTCGTAATTCCCGCATGAATTTGACTGACTATAAGTATAATATAGATTATAATTTAGACTTGAACCAATATATTGTAATCTATTCTAATAAAGTTTCTAGAGGTTTTTTTCCATCTTTCCAATTTTTAATGTCAGAAAACAGTGTTCCATTTCAAATTGCACTTGTCAAATATGATCATGCCTGTACAAACGGTATGTCAATCATGTAAATGCTTAATTTATTTATTTATATGTGAATTATATATATTTAATAGTTTATATTTCCTTATAAACGGGTGTTTTCAAGAAATGCAAGCTATATTTGCAGACACGAGCAGTTATGTTGTAAGTTACAATCGTGAAGTATTATATATCAATGCTTTTTTATTGTTATAAAGGTATATTCCACAACTGTAATCCAGGTTGCGTCGTGGGGAAATGTAATGCATAATTCACGAGGTTATTGTAACATATGGGACCAATAATGTTTGCAGATCATTTGTCATTGTAAATGGTCAAATATCCACATTCTCCATTCTCATTCAAAAAGTCAAATGCAAGCTAAAATGGTGAGAGAAAAAAGAAGACAAACAACAGCAACGCGAAAGAAAGCAAGTGGAGTCCTTAAGGAGTGATTGATATGTATATAAACATTTATATTCTGCTCAGTAATTATGGTTATTTTGCTGCACTAACTAACTAGTCCCGTTATGCTAACTTTTATATTGTGTGAACTAATATTATTGTCATGGAAAATT